TGTGTTTGTTTTTTCTTTGTTGTTTTTGTTGCTGCTCAAATCAGCAAAAAGATAAATAGCATTTAATGCTTAAAATCTAATTGACAATTAGACAATATAAAGATGGACTAATTTTAGCAACATGGATTTTGTCTGCAGCAAGTAGTTGGGTGATGTGTGTATATCATTTGAATAGGGAAAGAAGAATATATTGTTAATGAATATCGTTTTTGTATAAAAATAGCAGATTTATGAACTTAATAATATACAATATTTTGAAAATAAATTTTAGAAATTATGCGATAGTTAATGAAATATTGAAATGTCGTAACGAAATTTCATATAGTCGGAGTGTACAAGATAAAAATAGAAACATTAAAGGGACATATTCCTATATAAACTAGACCGATTAAAAGAAAATTGTAAAACGACAGCATGTAAGTACACAAAATATATTTTCAATAGTCTAGTCAACAGACAAGCTAATAGACTAGTCAGCAGAACAGTCAATAGAGTAGTCAATGGACTAGTCAACTGACAGGTCAGCAAGCTGTTCAATAGACTATTCAACAGATTAATCAATATAATAGTCAAACCGACTAGAAGGTACATTAGCTACTAGACTACTCAACGGACTAGCTAATAGACTAATAAATAAACTATTCAGCAGACTAGCCAATAGAATTGTCACGAGACTTGTTACCAGAGTAGTCAATAGGTTTGTCAGTAAACTAGTTCATTGATTAGTCAGTAGACTAGTCAATAGAATAGTAAATAGAGTAGTCAATAGACTTGTCAATATACATATCAGCAGACTAGTTAATACACTAGTCATAAGGCTAGTCAATAGAATAATTAGCAGAATAGTCAGCGTATTAGTCAATAGCCTACTCAACAGACTAGTAAGGGACTAGTCAATAGACTAGACAATAGACTAGTCAACAATAGTTAATAGACCAGTCAGTATACTAGTCACCATAATAGTCAATAGACTTTTCAGTATACTTGTCAGTAGACTAATAAACAGACTTGTCTATAGACTAGTCAATAGCCTAGTCAACGGACTAGTCAATATACTAGTTAGCAGATTAATCTATCTATCTATTAGATCTATCAATATACTTGTCAGTAGACTAGTCAACAGATTAGTCAATACACTAGTCAGTAGACTTGTCAAAATACGAGTCAGTAGATTAGTCAGTAGGCTAGTCAATAGACTAGTCAATATACTAATCAACAAACTAATAAATAAAGTAGTCAATAGACTAATCGAAAGACTAGTCATCAAACTAATCAGTAGACTAGCCAACAGATTAGTTAACAGACCAGTCAACAGATAAGTCAATAGACTAGTCAATAGAATAGTCAACATAATAGTCAACAGAATAGTCAATAAACTAGTCAATAAACTAGTCTATAGTTTAGTCTATAGTCTAGTCTATAGTCTAGTCTATAGTCTAGTCTATAGTCTAGTCTATAGTCTAGTCTATAGTCTAGTCTATAGTCTAGTCTATAGTCTAGTCTATAGTCTAGTCTATAGTCTAGTCTATAGTCTAGTCTATAGTCTAGTCTATAGTCTAGTCTATAGTCTAGTCTATAGTCTAGTTTATAGTCTAGTCTATAGTCTAGTCTATAGTCTAGTCTATAGTCTAGTCTATAGTCTAGTCTATAGTCTAGTCTATAGTCTAGTCTATAGTCTAGTCTATAGTCTAGTCTATAGTCTAGTCTATAGTCCAGTCTGTAGTTTAGTCTATAGTCTAGTCTATAGTCTATTCTATAGTCTAGTTCTATAGTCTAGTCTATAGACTAGTCTATATTCTAGTCTATAGTATATTCTATAGTCTAGACTATAGTCTAGTCTATAGTCTAGACTATAGTCTAGTCTATAGTCTAGTCTATGGTCTAGTCTATGGTCTTGTTTATAGTCTAGTCTAAAGTCTAGTTACAAAACATCCCCATGAACTCGTAATATCCCCTCCAAAGCTATAGTGGTAGCATAGTTTATATAAAAAACTCAAAATTTATTTTTATTAGGGTTAATGTGAATGTATGCGACTTGCATTTGTTAGTGTAAATGAATGTATGTAATTTTTATGTAAATGTAAAATGTTTGAGCCAAATTTACGCCAAAATTTGACGCCTAAATGTCTACGCTGGCTAAATTTAGTTAAACAAAATAATGAAATAATTTTAAGAAACACAAACACACACAGTGTTTAACCAAACGACACGGAGAAATTTTTTACACACTTTATTATTTCGATTATTTGCTGCAATGTTAACACGAAGAATGGAGTTCGAGTGCAATTTCCTTTCTCAAATTGTCTAATTAGCATAATGTGTTTGTTTTTTCTTTGTTGTTTTTGTTGCTGCTCAAATCAGCAAAAAGATAAATAGCATTTAATGCTTAAAATCTAATTGACAATTAGACAATATAAAGATGGACTAATTTTAGCAACATGGATTTTGTCTGCAGCAAGTAGTTGGGTGATGTGTGTATATCATTTGAATAGGGAAAGAAGAATATATTGTTAATGAATATCGTTTTTGTATAAAAATAGCAGATTTATGAACTTAATAATATACAATATTTTGAAAATAAATTTTAGAAATTATGCGATAGTTAATGAAATATTGAAATGTCGTAACGAAATTTCATATAGTCGGAGTGTACAAGATAAAAATAGAAACATTAAAGGGACATATTCCTATATAAACTAGACCGATTAAAAGAAAATTGTAAAACGACAGCATGTAAGTACACAAAATATATTTTCAATAGTCTAGTCAACAGACAAGCTAATAGACTAGTCAGCAGAACAGTCAATAGAGTAGTCAATGGACTAGTCAACTGACAGGTCAGCAAGCTGTTCAATAGACTATTCAACAGATTAATCAATATAATAGTCAAACCGACTAGAAGGTACATTAGCTACTAGACTACTCAACGGACTAGCTAATAGACTAATAAATAAACTATTCAGCAGACTAGCCAATAGAATTGTCACGAGACTTGTTACCAGAGTAGTCAATAGGTTTGTCAGTAAACTAGTTCATTGATTAGTCAGTAGACTAGTCAATAGAATAGTAAATAGAGTAGTCAATAGACTTGTCAATATACATATCAGCAGACTAGTTAATACACTAGTCATAAGGCTAGTCAATAGAATAATTAGCAGAATAGTCAGCGTATTAGTCAATAGCCTACTCAACAGACTAGTAAGGGACTAGTCAATAGACTAGACAATAGACTAGTCAACAATAGTTAATAGACCAGTCAGTATACTAGTCACCATAATAGTCAATAGACTTTTCAGTATACTTGTCAGTAGACTAATAAACAGACTTGTCTATAGACTAGTCAATAGCCTAGTCAACGGACTAGTCAATATACTAGTTAGCAGATTAATCTATCTATCTATTAGATCTATCAATATACTTGTCAGTAGACTAGTCAACAGATTAGTCAATACACTAGTCAGTAGACTTGTCAAAATACGAGTCAGTAGATTAGTCAGTAGGCTAGTCAATAGACTAGTCAATATACTAATCAACAAACTAATAAATAAAGTAGTCAATAGACTAATCGAAAGACTAGTCATCAAACTAATCAGTAGACTAGCCAACAGATTAGTTAACAGACCAGTCAACAGATAAGTCAATAGACTAGTCAATAGAATAGTCAACATAATAGTCAACAGAATAGTCAATAAACTAGTCAATAAACTAGTCAATAGACTGTTTCATAGACTTGTCAACAGACTAGTCAAAAGACTAGTTCATGGAGTAGCCAATAGACTACTTAATAGACTACTCAATAGACAAGTCAGTAGAGTAGACAATAGATTAGTCAATAGACTAGCCAGCAGACTTGTCAACAGGCTACTCAATAGGCCAGTCAACAATCTATTCAATGTACTAGTCAATAGATTAATCAACAAACTATCCAATAAACTAGTCAATAGACTAATGCAAAGACTAGTCATAAAACAAGTCAACAGGTTAGTCAATAGACTAATAAATAGAATAGTGAATAGACTGTTTAATTGATTAGTCAATAGACTAGTCAACAGGCTAGTCAACAGGCTAACAAATAGACTAGGCAACAAACTAGTCAATTGATGACGCAACAGACTAGTCAGTAGACTAAGCAACAGACTGGACAATATACTAGTTAACAGACTGGACAATATACTAGTCAACAGACTGGACAATAGACTAGTCAACAGACTGCAGAATAGATTAGTCAACAGACTGGACAATAGACTGGTCAACAGACTACTTAACAGACTAGTCAACAGACTATCCAACAGACTAGTCAATATCGTAGCCAATAGACTAGTCAACAGACTATTCAATGGACTAGTTAAATGACTACTCAACATACTAGTAGACATACTTGTCAATAAACTAGTCAACAATTTAGTAAATACACTAAATTGACCAGTCAATAGGCGAGTCAATAGACTAATTAAGGAATTTGTTAATATACTAACCAATATACTAATAAACAGACGAGTCAATTGGTTAGTCAACAGATTATTAAACATTTTTAGAACTTTATTAAATATTTTTCTAAATTGTTAAACATTTAACATCTATTTCGGTAAATTTCTTTAAATGTTTCATTTAAAAAATTTAACTTTTTGATAAATGTTTTCTTTTAACTGGTGATTTTTTTTGCCATTATAAATATCTATAGAGTTAATGTGGTAGTTTATTTTTATTACTCATACGCTGTGGTGGCAAATGTTTAATGTACAATAGAGTTTGAAAAAATTTATTTCTACTACGTGGAATTTAATTCACCGGAAAAGAACACAATTCCTAAAATTGTTTCATTGTAGAATTAAAATGAGATTTTTTTATTGCATTGCTTTTAGCCAACACAAAAGAGACAATGAACACTAACAAATGATTCTAATCAATACAGTTGCCTTTTATATTTTTATATGTTGGTTTCAAGTAAAAAAGCAAGATTTTTTTGTTGTTGATATTTTAGAAGAGAATGATGTACTTACCTTTTCCTTTGACGATTATCGAATGCAATATTCACTGGCACGTCCAATTCTAAATCTTCAACATCATCGATTGTTTTCGCCATGTTATTGAATTTACGTGACGAACAATGTGAAGCTGCACCATCGAAATTATTTAACAAAGCACTGATGCTGCCGCCATTAATGGCAGAACCTGCATTGCCACCACCGCCACCTCCACCGACTCCAATGCTGCTGCCACCCAACAGAACACCGGAAATATCTGAAACCGAAGAGATTTCCGCTTGAATGCCATGTTGTTGCACGATACAAATGAAAAGGCAACAATAGCAACAAAGTAAAAATGCCAACAACAACGTTGATAATTTATAACACGACTATTTGTTGCAGTTGTTGTTGTTGTTGTTGCTGTTACTACTGCATTTGGTCTTGTTGTATTAAATGTGGATGTTGCTGCTGTTGTTGTTGAGTATGCTCTTTTTGTTGCTCTTATTGTGGGGTTTGTTGTCAATGTTGTTGCTACTGCTGTTGTATTTGTTAAAGTTAAAATTGCTGTTGAATTTGTTGTTGATTTGGCTGTTTTAGAATTTTGTTTCAGTTTTGCTGTGTTCACTGTAGATCTGGCTTTTGACAACATTTTCTTTTTGTTGCAAACTGTTTTTTAGCAGAATATTTTTTTTTTTTGTAACTTTTTGCTTTATTGTAGCTTTAGTAATCAGGATTCTCTGTGAGTAATCAATTCGCATAAAAACATTTCTCTTTAATGTGTATACAGACAATTAAAGAACAAACATTTTCAATAAAAAAATATCTTCAACAATACAATGTATTACAAAGTATGACTTCTTCATAAATTTATTTAACTTAAACTTTTAATTAAAGTTTCTCTTTCTTTTTGCCGAAAAATTGTCAATTAAATTTCTTTTTTCTTAAAATTTTAATTTTTTTTCTGGTTTCAATTATCCATCAGGGCGACCTTTTACTTTGCACAATCATCATTCTCTTCATCATCCTTAGCATCTGTTCGTTTTTATTTGGTTTTGAATCCTGTCAATTGTCAAATATTTTGAACTTGTCACTTGAATTTTGACAACTTCTTTGAAATATGCACACACATACATACACACACACACAGTGGTACACAGCAAAATGCAACAATTCAATTGAAATTAATTCGCTTCAGTTAGAGAGAACCCTTCAATCAAGTTCTTTGTAGATTTTTTTGTATTCAGATCGAATTTTAGAAGAGTATAACAGGTTCATCAATATGTTGGTTGACTATAATGGACTACAATATAGACTAGACTATAGACTAGAATATAGACTAGACTATCCGATATGGCCGAAAAAGTCTTAGCAGCACTAAAGATGGCTTGTGATGCGTCCATGCAAAGAAAGAGATCAAACCATAGAAGGAAAGAAAACTACTGGTGGAATGATAATATATCAGCCCTTAGAAGCGAATGATTGAAGAGTAGAAGAAAATACCAAAGAAGCAGAGGCAGACCAGACTTCATAGCTAAAAGGGAAATATATGACGAGGCCAGGAAAGGCCTACAAGAAGCCATTAGACGTAGTAAATCCGAGTGTTTTAAAGAACTATGCAACTAAGCCGATGCAAATCCCTGGGGTAACGCATATCGAGTTGTAATGTCAAAGCTAAAGGGGAAGAGGTCAGCCCAAATAACATGCCCTAACCTTATTAGAGAAATAGTATCAGTTCTATTTCCGAAAGGAGAACCGTACTCAGAGTCGTATTCAATCGTGCAACAAGGCGAGATAGAAGTGACAGAGGAGGAAATAATAAACCTCTGTGCAAGGATTGGCGATAACAAAGCTCCAGGCATTGACTTCATTCCGAATAGGGCTTTAAAGTTCGCTCTAAAATCAAGACCAGAGATTTTTACCAGACTGTTCAGCTGAAGTCTCAGAGAGGGAAAATTCCCCGAGATCTGGAAGAAACAAAAACTAATTCTGACACCAAAACCAGGAAAAACATTAGGTGAACCACAATCATACCGACCAATCTGTCTTCTCGACACCTTAGACAAATGCTTGGAACGAATTGTCTATACAAAACTGTTAAAGGCAATAGAAGAAAACTGTGGGCTATAGGATAGGCAATATGGATTTAGAAAGGCTAGATCAACAATTGATGCAGTGAATTTCGTAACTGAAACAGCTAAGAATGCAATCAATGGAAAAGACAAGAATAGATATTACTGTGCCATAATTACACTAGATGTTAAAAATGCTTTTAACTCTGCGGGATGGAAACACATTATTTCCACGTTAAGATCTCTTAATGTCCCCGACTACCTTATTGCAATAATAAAGGATTACTTCTCAAACAGAACACTGTGGTTCGAAACTGACAATGGTACGGAATCGTATAATATTACATCAGGTGTCCCACAAGGATCAGTCCTAGGACCACTCCTGTGGAATATTATGTACAATGGCATATTTGACTTAAGAATCCCAGAAGAAGCAACCGTTGTAGGATTCGCAGACGACGTCGCAATTCTTGTCAGAGCACGTCACCTGGATGAAGTCCAGTTATATGCAAACGAATCAATTGCAATTATTAGAAATTGGATGAAATATATGAATCTGAAACTTGCAGAGCATAAAACGGAGGCAGTGCTTATAAGCGGAAAGAGGAAGAGAGAGACTCTTTCATTTACTGTGGGGACAACTGAAATCAAATCGTATGAATCTATTAAATACTTAGGTATAATGGTTGATGATCGCCTAAACTTTAAGAAACACATAGAATATACATGTGAGAAAGCAACAGCTGTATCAAATGCCTTAGCAATAATGATGCCAAACATCGGTGGACCACGTCAGAGTAGAAGAATTTTAAATTCAAGGGTGACGAACTCAGTTATTCTTTATGGAGCACCAATTTGGGAATGCGCAATATCTGAAGCATTTAGAAAAAACATTTCTGCAATACATAGAAGAAGCTGCCTAAGAGTATGTAGTGGTTACAGGACAATTTTTGCAAAAGCAGCAAATGTAGTAGCGGGCATAATACCTGTGGACTTAGCAGCCAAAGAACTATCGGCTGTCTACGAAGAGAAACTTAGAAACCCAGATATCCCAAAGGCGGAAATAAGCAGGATAGAAAGGGAGAAACAATGAGGGAATGGCAGAGGAGATGGGAAAGTACAAGTAAGGGCCGATGGACCTTTCAACTAATCCCAGACATCAATACATGGATAAATAGACGCCATGGTGAGCTGAACTACCATTTGACGCAATTCCTTACAGGACATGGTATCTATAGGAGCTATTTACACCGGTTTGGCCATGACAACTCACCAAGATGCCCGAAATGCCCAGAACTAGAAGAAACAGTAGAACATGTCGTTTTTAATTGCCCACAATTCTCTGGACTACGAAGCAGGTTGGAATCGTGCATTGGCGAACAAATAAGGACAGACAATATAAAAGAAGCAATTTTAAAATCAGAACATAACTGGTCATTGGTGAACATGTACATAACTTCAATAAATATAGCTCTGCGAGATGCAGAGATTATTCGCAAGGCCCAGAACGTGGCCTAGGAGACGAACTCTGAGAGTTAAGGAAGTTCAGCGACAAAGCTGACCACCCCGCGAAGTAGTACCTGGTGGCAGTTCCGCGGAGTGTGGTGTTGACGATGGAGGTGGTTTTAGTCGTTAGGAATACAAAAAAAAAACTAGACTATAGACTAGACTATAGCCTAGACCATAGACTAGACTATAGACTAGACTATAGACTAGACTATAGACTAGACTATAGACTAGACTATAGACTAGACTATAGACTAGACTATAGACTAGACTATAGACTAGACTATAGACTAGACTATAGACTAGACTATAGACTAGACTATAGACTAGACTATAGACTAGACTATAGACTAGACAATAGACTAGACTAGACTATAGACTAGACTATAGACTAGACTATAGACTAGACTATAGACTAGACTATAGACTAGACTATGGGCTGGACTATAGACTAGACTATAGACTACACTATAGACCAGACTATAGACTAGACTGTAGACTAGACTATAGACTAGACTATAGACTACACTATAGATTAGACTATAGATTAGACTGTAGACTAGACTATAGACTAGACTATGGGCAAGACTATAGACTAGACTATAGACTACACTATAGACTAGACTATAGATTAGACTGTAGACTAGACTATAGACTAGACTATGGACAAGACTATAGACTAGACTATAGACTAGACTGTAGACTAGACTATAGACTAGACTATAGACTACACTATAGACTACACTATAGACTACACTATAGACTAGACTATAGACTAGACTATAGACTACACTATAGACTAGACTAGACTAGACTATAGACTAGACTATAGACTAGACTATAGACTAGACTATAGACTAGACTATAGACTAGACTATAGACTAGACTATAGACTAGACTATAGACTAGACTATAGACTAGACTATGGACTAGACTATAGACTAGACTATAGACTAGACTATAGACTAGACTATGGACTAGACTATAGACTAGACTATAGACTAGACCAGCGGTTCCCACCATTTTTTACTTCGCGGACCCCTTGAGGAATTTATTTAATTTCACGGACCCCCATACATATTTTGATATCTTATTGTTATAAATAACACTGTGATACAAACGTGAAGAAAAATAAAATGCAGGCGTTCTCATATACCAATTCTATTTCGTTATAGTCCATAGAGTACGAATATATTTTTAGTTTTCCCCTATCACTTCGTTAACTTACTTTTTAAGAGCAAAAGATGCGAAAAAGAGCCATTTTTGAAGTTTTAAATTTGAAAAATCATAAGTTTAGTAGTTTTCATCCGATTTTCAAATCCGATTTTTTTTTTTAATGATACAAGTGTCTTTTAATCCAAAAAAGAAATCCAAATTTACGGTCGTTTAAGTAAAAAAACTCACACTTTTTTAAAAAATTTTCATTTTCATCATGCTCTACTTTGACCATGAGGCAGTGAGTTCATCTTTTATTACTTTCCTGAAGAATCACATAAAGGAAGGTTTCTAAAACTTATTTCATAAAAATCTATGAAAAACTGGATAATTTATGCCAATTTTTCTAATAGCATGTTTCTCGAATTTTTGGTTTTCTCCATACAAATTAATTTTTGTATAAAAATGTTTATAAACATTTTTTAAACTTGTTACAAAGAAAACCAGAAACATGAACGTTTTTGTATGGAAGAAATATGCTATATTTTTATAAAACTTAGCACAACTCATAACCTTTTTCATCGATTATCATAAATTGACCATCATTGGAAACCCAACTTAATGTGGCTTTTTTCAAATGTAATAAAAGCTAAAGTTATTGCTTCATGGCCAACGTAGAGCAGTATGAAAATTAAAAATTGTGAAAAAAGTGTGAGTTTTTTTACTTAAATGGCCGTAACCAAGACATTAATCATAAATTTTGGATTTATTTTTTTGGGTTGAAAGACAACACTTGTATCTTTAAAACAAAATATCCAATTTGAAAATCGGTTGCAAACTACCAGACATATATTTTTTTAAAGTTAAAACTTCAAAAATAGCTCTTTTTCACAACTTTTGCTCTTAAAAAGGAACTAAACGAAGTGATCGGGAAAAATTAAAAATAAATTCCTACTCTATGGACTATAACGAAATGGAATTGGTATATGAGAACCCCTGCATTTTTT